TTTAATGCATATAAATGACTATATAATTGTAATGCATGTAAATTCACTTGAATCAGGTTAATTATGGAGTGTTTTTTGAAAATAGCATCTACAAAAGAAAAAATAGTGTTGAAAAGGAAACATTATTCCTTTTTTTTAAAAAAAAACATATTTTGATGAGTTTTGCTATTAAAAACAACATAATCCAATCTATTCCCAGCTCAAAAGCTTTTTTAAAAAAAAATAATAAATAAACGAGTTTTTCTTATATCTTTAATTTTTTTCATTAAAATTAATAATTTACTATATAAATATTGATCCAAATTTCATTCCTACCCTTCCTAAATAAGATTATCTCCTCGTACGTTAATAATGTACCAAAAACAAATATCTCTTTTTAATCTTAATATTTATCTATTTTTAACCGATTATTTACTAGAAAAACATAAACCCAAATGACATCGATTCTCACCTTTTTCTAAAAAAATTATTTTCTTATACATTAATGATATACCAGATAAAAAAAATTGATTTATCCATTTTATTCTCAGTGTTTATCCTTTTTTTTAATCAATTCTATCAAAATTAAATAAGATATTGACGCAGCTAAACACATTTGACCCATTCTAAATCTAATTACATCAATAATTAATAAAAAAATAATATCATTTTAATAAAAATAATTATAACTCGTAAATTCACCTGATTGAGGCTAATTATGGAGTGTTTTTTGAAAATAACATTTGAAAAAAAAAAAACTTGTTTTGAAAAGGAAACAACACAATCCAATCTATTCCTAACTCAAAAGCTTTCTTTAAAAAAAAAAAAGAAATGTACGAGTTTTTTTAAAATCTTTAATTTTTTCATTAAAATTAATAATTTACCAAATAAATATGAACCCAAATCTCATTCCTAATAAAATTATCTACTCGTACGTTAATAATGTACCAAATAAAAAGATCTCTTCTATCTATTTTTAATCTTAATATTTATCTATTTTTAACCGATTATTTACTAGAAAAACATAAACCCAAATGACATCCTTACCTTTTTCTAAACAAAATTATTTTCTTATACATTACTGATATACCATATAAAAAAATTGATTTATCCATTTTATTCTCAATATTTATCTTTTTTTAATCAATTCTATATGAGGAAATTTTCTCAAAACTTTTAATTAATTGATTCACTAACATGATTTATTCCTGGACTTTATTTATAATTATTAATTGACCTACTAAGTTAAAATATCTTATTAAAATTTTAATTAACTACAACTAGCCTATCAAAGAATCCTATTGAATTTTAATTTAACTATAATTAATTATAATAATTAATAATTAACCTAAAAGGTCAAATAACCCTGTTAAAATTTTAAGAAATTATTATTGAGACTAAAATCAAGTCAATAAAATATATATTTTAATTTCTAGATGATAAGTATTATTTTAAATTTTAAATTAAACTTAAAAATAAAAAAATATGCTTAATAAATTATTGATTGCACTATTTTTAACAACACACCTCATTAAATATACTATTTAAAAAAATACTTTTAAACGTGTGTTACTTTTTCTAAACTTTACTTATTTTTTAGTTGGTATTTGGAAAAAAAATAAAAATAAAATCAACAAATATATATAAAAAAGCATCTAATGATCTTACCTTACAATTTTTGACGATGAAATTGAAAACACCGAAATAATTCATGGTTGTCAGTAGTCAGTATCCTGGACTTTATTTATAATTATTAATTGACCTACTAAGTTAAAATATCTTATTAAAATTTTAATTAACTACAACTAGCCTATCAAAGAATCCTATTGAATTTTAATTTAACTATAATTAATTATAATAATTAACCTAAAAGGTCAAATAACCCTGTTAAGATTTTAAGAAATTATTATTGAGACTAAAATCAAGTCAATAAAATATATATTTTAATCTCTAGATGATAAGTATTATTTTAAGTTTTAAATTAAACTTAAAAATTAAAAAAAAAATTCTTAATAAATTATTGATTGCACTATTTTTAACAACACACCTCATTAAATATACTATTTAAAAAAATACTTTTAAACGTGTGTTACTTTTTCTAAACTTTATTTATTTTTTAGTTGCTATACGGAAAAAAATAAAAATAAAATCAACAAATATGTATAAAAAAGCATCTAATGATCTTACCTTACAATTTTTGACGATGAAATTGAAAACACCGAAATAATTCATGGTTGTCAGTAGTCAGTAAATCATACGTCAGCAAATTGAATTACTTTTCGAAATCTGATGATAATGAATGCTTTGTCGATATCATACATCAACAGAGATGGCAGTGGCTCTGGCATGGAGTCATTTTATTTTATTTATTTATTTATTTATTTTTATTTCCTGTTAAGATTTTAAGAAATTATTATTGAGACTAAAATCAAGTCAATAAAATATATATTTTAATTTCTAGATGATAAGTATTATTTTAAATTTTAAATTAAACTTAAAAATAAAAAAATATGCTTAATAAATTATTGATTGCACTATTTTTAATAACACAACTCATTAAATATACTATTTAAAGAAATACTTTTAAACGTGTGTTACTTTTTCTAAACTTTATTTATTTTTTAGTTGCTATACGGAAAAAAATAAAAATAAAATCAACAAATATGTATAAAAAAGCATCTAATGATCTTACCTTACAATTTTTGACGATGAAATTGAAAACACCGAAATAATTCATGGTTGTCAGTAGTCAGTAAATCATACGTCAGCAAATTGAATTACTTTTCGAAATCTGATGATAATGAATGCTTTGTCGATATCATACATCAACAGAGATGGCAGTGGCTCTGGCATGGAGTCATTTTATTTTATTTATTTATTTATTTATTTTTATTTCGAGGGAGGGAATCTCGCTAGAACCCAGGTGTGATAAAACAAAAGCACAATTAAATTAATCTGGCATGCAATGACACGTCACCTGAATGGGTTAATGATGCATTTGGTCCTTTTATTCTTACTTCTTTTTTATTATGGTCCTTTCACTATTTCTTAACCTATCACCATCTCCTTACTTTGTCTTTTTTGAACATGCGGCCCATTTCATCGTGAAGGTCCATTTCACTAAAAATATCTCAGAATTACAATAATAATTTTGAGTGCAATAAAAAATAAAAACTCTTCTAAAATACTCTTCACCTGTATGAATTCTTTGATTAGAGATCATATTTGGATCTTATTTTAGATAAGAATATATTCACATAGCTCAAAAATTTTAACTGTGCTGCTTAATAGTCTTTACCTCTTATCCTTCTATGCTTGTTATTTTTTATTTTGATAACTTTGTTGTCTATTCATAGATATATTAAGTGTAATTTACTTCAAATGTTCTTTAAATAAATAAATTATTAGGAAAAATGTTATGAAAATTATTTAAAATATTATTTGTTAGAAGTCAATTAAAGCAAGAATCATAAATATATATTTGAACTGAGTTTTTAATGTAATCTGGGTAGAAAACTAATAAATTTAATTTATCTGGTCATGGAGATCTTTAGATCATGAACTAGACTTGTTGAAATTTTAGTGTTTACAAACACTTAAAAATTATTAATTTGATATTTTTTCATGAAAAAAATAATTTCCATAATATCTTTAAAAGCATAAGCAAACATAATGTTAAATAGGCACTGAAAGTACTAGAATGAGAATTTCTTCTATTCAGCAATTTTCATATCTAGGCTTAAAAATACTATTTAGATCTAAATGATATATTTATTTGTATTTCAATTTAAAGGACATATACTTGTATTTTTTATGCTTATCTTATCGATAAAAATTTGAAATTATTAGCATGAGTAGGTTACAAATGAGATGGATCTTATCCATATCCAAACCTTATTGTATATACACAAGAAAATGTATAAAAAAAATTAGAAAAAAAAGCTAGCTATCAAAATCAAACCAATCACTATCTTCTTGCACATGGATCATTACAACTGTAATGATAGTTTCTTGTGCCTGAATCGGTGGCTTAATAAGCTATTACATTGTTAAACTCCACTAATAATCAATAAGAGAATATAAATAAAAAAAATGAAGAAAAAAAATTAAATTGATTTTATTATATGAAAACAACTCTTGTAATTTATGCTAGATGGCATTGGAGCTAGAATGTTTTTCCAAAATTTATTCATTTCCTATTATAAAAAAGTGTTTTTTATTTAAAAATAATATAAATTTTTTATTTTTAAAAATTATTTCTAATATCATTATATCAAAATGATTTTAAAACAATAAAAAAAATATTAATTTAAAATAAAAAATATAAAAATTTTTATTTTTATTTTTAAAAAATATATTTTTAAAACATAAAAAAATATGATGTATGTAGGCCCGGGGGCAAAAAAACCTCCTCCTCGCGAGACATTTTTACTTCTTCTATGTAGCTAATATTTATATTTTAAAATAAATTTTATGTTTCAAATAAATAGGTGAATACATATAAACACAATAAAAAAATACTAAACAAGCATAAAAATAATAAATATAAAAATTATTTTTAAAAGTCAAAACTCATATTTTATCCTGTCAATAAAAATATCAATTATATTTTTTTTATTTTAATGATATTAATTAAAAAAATTTGTAGAATAGCATAGTTTTTTTTTTTAAATACCAAAGTAACATAATTTGTGCTTATTGCAATTTAAAAATATCATATTTTATGAATATGATAATTACAACAATTTAATTTTTTATAATTAATATTATATTTTTATACATGCCGTGTGTTTGGAAACTATAACTAGCATAAAAGGATGTTGTTTCTCCAATAATTCCTCACCTGTGTTATTTTAGCATAAAAGCGAGAGGACAAAATCGTGACAAGAAATTTGAGAGGATCAAAGCAACACAAAATTACAGCTAAGTGACCAAATAAATATATAACTTCAACAATAATGGCTCATCATGTAATTTGCGACAAACCCAGTGTCATTTCTCGATCCTCCCCAAGCACCATAATACCCTCACTCATCCTTGCACTCCACTTTCATGCCAAAAAAGAGTCCCAGCACAGAGAGAAGAATTCCTACGGAGAGAGAGGGGGTGGCAGAGAGAGATAGCCTTAAAAAACATCATGCACACAACCAAACACCGGAGCTCCGGTCCGGAATCAACAACCTCCAGATCATCATCAACACCCGGTTGGATCACCGAATCGATTAACGGTGGATCACTCCGCCACGTGGACTTACACACTGGTGTTAACGGATGGGCGTCACCACCAGGTGATCTTTTCTCTCTACGTTCAAAAAATTACTTCATCAAAAAACAGAAATCCCCCTCCGGCGACTACCTACTCTCACCCGCCGGTATGGACTGGCTCAAATCGAGCACAAAACTCGACAACGTACTCGCTCGTCCAGATAATCGCGTGGCAAACGCCTTAAAGAAAGCACAATCCCAAAATAAGTCCCTCAAGTCCTTCATTTTTGCTATCAACCTTCAAGTCCCCGGTAAAGACCAGCACAGCGCCGTTTTCTACTTCGCATCGGAAGATCCTCTACCGTCCGATTCCCTCCTATATAGATTCATCAACGGCGATGATGCATTTCGGAATCAACGGTTCAAGATCGTGAACCGGATTGAAAAGGGTCCCTGGGTGGTGAAAAAAACGGTGGGAAATTACAGCGCGTGTTTATTAGGTAAAGCCTTAAATATTAATTACCATAGGGGTGGGAATTATTTCGAGATTGATGTTGATGTTGGCAGCTCGAAAATTGCTGCGGCAATTTTGCATCTCGCATTGCGGTACACGGCACATGTCACCATCGATATGGGGTTTGTAGTGGAGGCGCAGACGGAGGAGGAGTTGCCGGAGAGGTTGATTGGGGCAATTAGGGTTTGTCAGATGGAAATGTCGACGGCGCGTGTTGTTGATTCCCCGTCGACGGGTTTGGCGCGTGGGTCGGGGTTTGCTAAGGTGGAGCATCATTTGTCTGGCGATGAAGAGGAGGATTGAAGGGCTGGAGATGGCTGGTATTTCTTTTTTAATTATTTAGTTTTGGGATTTGGGTTTTTTTATTCCTAACAAACAATAGGGATTGGTGGTTGTTGTAGATAATAATAATTAAAAAAATGGTTGAAAATAACAATGTTAAAAAAATCCAAAATATAAATAACCAAAAACAATGTCGGTTTCTTCCCTGCTCCATGTGACTTTTTATGCTTAATTTCTTTCTATTTAGAGAAATTCAATGTAGTAATAAAAAAAATATAAATTGAAGGCTGCCATGTGGTTATCAATCTATAAGTTAATCGATTCGTTCAGGATTTTCTATTTAATTAATTATATTTCTTTTTAAATTACATAAATGACATTGTTCTAAAATTAATCTAATAAATCATCGTTTAATTTAGTTGGCCGTGTTAAATATTACGATAAAAGCAAGAGGCCAACCATGTGCAGCATGTGGCGGGCCACGATAAGCTTTAACGGGTGTTTGCAGTAATGTTCTATATTATTTTTTGAAAGTTTTTTTCTTTGAGAATAAATTAAAATAATTTTTTAAGTTATTTATTTATTTTTAATATTAGAATATAAAAATAGTTAAAACGGGTCTAGTGAATGGGAGGGCTATTCTGCAAGGGTCCGTTGCCTTGGAGTCATGTGGTTGTCATGGTTAGGTGTGGCGTGATTTGGTGCCTCCGTGATGTCAGGCTTTGATATGTTTAGGGGACATTATGCACTGCGTAGATTTTTGTGGTAAGTGTCAATTTGTCCAGATGGGAAATGGGATCGTGTGGTCAACATTTTCGCCTCTTTTTGGGATTCCGATCTATATGGTCAATATATAGATCCTTGATTCAAGCCCAGTTCATGTTCTTGTGATGAAATGTTGTGTTGTTTTTTTCTCCTTTTGAGCTAAGCATGCACTTGATTATTAATGCCTGTTATTATTACCTGTAAGAGACAAGTGTGGAAAAATTAACAAAGTTTAAGGACTAATAATTTAATATATAGTGAAAGTGAAATGAATGTTTTTACTAAAGAATCTAAACAAAATTATACTTAAATCAATTAATATTCTAAATTAGTGACTCGGTTTATAAGACTGATTATTTTATAAAAAAATATACATGAAAAAATCATAAAGTAAAATTTTTAATTGAAGAAAAATTAAAAAAATAAAACAAATAACAATAGAACAATAAGGGTTAAATCTAATATAAAACCGAATGAAAGAAAGTAATTGGGGATAAAATTAAAAAAGTAAATGAAAAAAATAAAAAAATAACAATTAAAAAATAAGGCAAAGGAAATAAAAAATTGAGGGAGAAAATAAAAAATAATCAAGAATAAAATAAGAAAATAAAAACTAAAATTGAATGAAATAAAATGATAAGGAATGAAATTTAAAAAAAAATCAATAAAGGATAAAACTAAAAAAAAAGATGCAATAAAAAAATAAGGATCATAATGAATAAAAAATTAAATGAAATACAATTCATATAAAAGAAATTGAAAAAAAAACTTTAAAAAGCATTAAAAGTAAAATAAATAATAATAAAAAATAAAAATAAAAACTGGAGCTCAACCACACCTCTTTCGTGCAAGTGCACCTCACCAGCATAAAAAAGTGCACCTCGCCAGCATAAAAAAGATGACACACCATTCACAACGTCGTTGTGAACAACTAATTTTGATAATCAAAAGGTCCCTTGCGCATCTCTCCTCACCAACATAAAAAAGATGACACACCATTTACAACGTCATTGTGAACAACTAATTTTGATAATCGAAAGGTCCCTCGCGCACCTCCTGAAAAGCACCTCCTCAAAAGCATAGGATTCATTATATGCTAACATGTGTGTTGTACAAGTTAATATCTTTTTTATAATAATATTTTATCTTTTAAAATTATCAAATAACTTAATATTAAAAAAATATAAAAAATAACTATAAGAAAGGGACAAAAATAACGTTGCAACCATGCTTTTGTGTGTGTATTAAAGGCAATTATGTAACTTCATTGTTCTAGAAAAAAAAAAAGCTTTTTTGCAAGTTTAATAGTTTTTTTTTTTTTTTGCATTTCAAGGGCGTGGTCATAATTTTGCAGTGAAAATAATAGTGTAAAGAAAAAAAAATTTGAAACAAAATTATATATTTATTTTTACCTTTAAAGCAATAAAATCATTTTACCATGCAAAAAAATATAGTGAATCAATCTATCCCTAACTAATATTGTAGTGCCCAATGGATTTCTTTGAAAATATAATTTTACTTCCAATTGCAAGTTTTTTTAAGAAGAACAAAAATATCACTATTCTATTTCAATAAACATTGTAATGTGTCCAAGATCTTTTAAAAATACTGGTGACTTTAGTTTTTTTAATTATTTTAATCATTCATTTAGTTGCTAAGTGTTAATGAAAATTTTTCCATAGATTTTATTTGTTTTCGTGTGCGATCCGAGTTTTGCTTTAATTATAGATTTAAAAATATTTGATTAATCAAGATTTATTATAAAATTATATAGAAAACAATTCCCAATTAAAACCTTGGTTAATAAAAAATTATAATTTTTAGTTTTTTTAATCTATCTTTTCAATCAACAATCAAAAAAATTTCCACATTACGTAACATATACTAAATCACCAGTAAAGAGTTTCCATTCTTAGCTCAATGTCCTGTCGAGATAAAAAAAATATATTTCTTTATGCCTTGTTATCCTTGAACGGACAAGAGAGTTCAGCTTTACTTGGAGAAGGATTCCTTTTCCTCTACAGCTCAATTTCTTATTGATTTTAAAAATATTGCTTTTGCCTTTATACCTGTCATCCATGAAAGGACAAAGAGAGTCCAACTTTACATGCTTACCTAATTGTTTTTTTTTTTTTAGCCCATGAGTGAATCAAGAATCTATATTTTATTCGGACGGTGTCACTAAGCTATAACTTGTCTCATGGTTAATTAGTTACAAAATTATCCATATTTAATTGAAGTGAAAAAAATAAATTTAGAAATGGGACCCCAACTAATTAGATATTAATTTTATTTTTTAATAATTATAAATTTAAATTTTTTTAAAAGAATTAAAAATTTATATGATAATTAACTTTAAATTTATAAAATTAATTAAATTACATGTAAATTGACTTAGATATTTATGTTAGTGAAAAAATAAATTTAGATTTAAAATACAAATATTATTTCTATGATACATTGAATTGAATTGAAGTATTTAAAAAGAAAAATCCTTTTAAAAATCTAAGTATTTAAAGCTTCTAAATGGTTATCCAGTGGTTAAAAAAGTATACTTATTAATTTTTTTTTTCTGAAAGATTTATTAAGAAAATACAGTTTTTAGATGGCCCGGAAAATAATTTAATCTATACTTCTATAAGTGGAGAATAAAATCTTTTTACTCTCCTATTTCTTTCTATATTCTTCTTTGCTTTTCTTAGTGTCCGCAGATAGAGTTGGATCAGCCGCCCACCTTCACGAACCAATCAAGAACTTTGGGTCGGCAATTACAAAACGAAAAGCTTAAAACTTTTATAATGAACACGAGTGCAGACATGATTTTGAGCATGGCTACCTCCATAGCCGAAGATCATGAAAATGAAAAAAAGAAAGATTGCCTTTCTGCATTTGATTTGATTTGATTTGATTGTACAAACTCCTTTCAACTGCCATAAGTAATTGTTTGTGGGGGGCTTCCATAATAAAATAAAGTGATTATTTTGCTATTTTTTTAAAAAATATTAAGATTAAAATGATGTTATACTATATTGATTTGGATTTTATAGTTTTTTTATAAGATTAAAAACTTTTTATTTTTAAAATTATTTTTTTAAATTTTAACATGACCGATCAATTTAACGGTCCAAGGTTCTTCTTTGTCGCCATAAGAGGAGCCTGCTTGGACTGTTCTTGTGATTTCCCCTCAATTCTTTTACCTTTGTTAGTTTTGGGCTGAAATTGAATGCTTTGGGAATTGGGACAGAATGGGATCCTTCAAGAAACAGGCAGGCTGGCATTGACAACACTTAAAGTTGGGGCCATGCCAACAATCTTGACAATTGAAAGCTTGAATGGACAAAAAACATGACGCAGGCAAGTCTTTTTAGCAATTATGACAAATGTTTTCATGGCTGTCGACTTGTCCCCAGCTTTTACGGGCAGCTTGTAGAAGTGGTGGATTGCATCATTTCTTTTCTTTTGCTTTCTGGCTGGGATTTGTAATTTTATTTATGTGTGTTAAAAGTATTTTTTTAAAATAAAATTATTTTATTTTATTTTTTATTTTAATTTATTTTAATTTTAATAATTTTAAATTATTTTAATATATTAATATCAAAAATAATTTTCTTAAAAAATACCATTAACAAGTATTTTAGCACAAAATATTCTTTAAAAAATAATTATAATTAAATGTCTAAACAAATCTGTTTTCAAATGTCTAAACAAATCTGTTTTCAACTTTGTTTCTCTAGCCATGAATGGAATTAATATTTTTTTAAAGGTTAAAAAAATATTTGATTATTATTAATATTTTTTAATTATATGAAATTGATTTGAAATAATTTAATTAATTTAAAAGGTTAAAATATAATTCAGATTAATATGTTAAATTCAAAACAGAATTATTATAAAATCTAAATAATTTAATAGTAAATAAATTAAAATAAATTATAATATTTAATTTCTAATTAAATTATTATTGATAGATAAAATTAAAAAAATATTTAATTGAAAAAATAAAAAATAATTTATGTCAAATATAGTTAACCTATCAAACTCATTAGATGAGAACAATATCATAAAAAACAAAAACAAAAACAAAATTTAATTTTTAATCAATTTAATATTAAAAAATAAAATTAAAAAAAAATTAATTAAAAAAATCAATTGCTTTATCATGAACGTCGGCTGGAACCTCATTCGTAATACCAAATGATACCATTGCCTCCTTTTTTTTTTTTTTTTTTTTTAATTTGAATATTGTCTTAAGATTTTGAATTAGGTTGTACAGGATATCATCAAGCCACTCAAGTTGACTGTTTCAACTTGCAACTAACTTGCGACAAATCCTCCTATAATCAAGAAATAAAAATTTAAAATAGCTATTTATCTTATGTAATAAATTATTAGCTTAGTTTGATATATTTATTTTTATTTTCTTGAT